AAGCAAAAAGAAAGGAATGCCACATCGACGTTGGTATACTCTTACAGATGTATACTGCTTATAGGAAGTTTGTACTGTTTCTGCAGTTTAAACGTGACGAAATAACGTGTTCGAGAGACTACAAATATAAGGCCTACAAGTCTTGGCTACACTTTTTTTTAACTAGAAAACGGGACCAAATATTTCATGATGACCTAATGGAGCTAAATATTCTCCGTAAAAGCCTCGACGAGCTAGCGGGAATCCCACAATGTGAGTTCTTTCCTGAATAAAGTATGAAACATGATTTAAATATACTTTCAGACTTAAAATTCTGTATGTAAGGTCACTTATACAAACGTCAAGCTGTTGTGTTATAAATAAAAATAAATAATAAAAAAACAAGAAGAAATAAATAACAATATTTTTCTGCAAAGATCTGTCTACATTATTAAGTGGGCCTGCCTAAAAGAGGACACATAATGTGTCATTGCTAAGCACTCCATGATATTTTGCATATCTATGGTGATATTCTGCCAGAGCTTTTCTCTTCTGTTGGGGAAAAATTAGGTTCCTTTCGATACTTAGCATTACCAACTCCCATGACGTATGCATAATACCCGTTTGTCGAGGGCATAAAGGAAAAAGAAAACGTACCAAGCTTATGGCAAAACTTTTGCAGCAACTTGCCGCCATAGCTTGATGCCAAGCTATCGTTCGGCTGCCCGCCTAACTGCCTAACTGCCTGACTTGACTGACTTCACTGACTTGACTGGGTTGCCTCTGGTTGGCCCCAACTTGCCTGCCTGCCTGCTTGCCTGACTACCTCGTTTGCCTAACTTGGCCAACTTCGTCGACTGCCTGTGACGTTCTGTCGTTGGTTTGATTGGATAAACGGCAATGGGAACGGCAATAATAACTGCTGCTCGATTTATTTTGTCATGTGGGTAAGCTTAGCGTTGACAGCGCTCCCAGAAAACACATTAACTCAAGTTCACAGTTTACTTTTTGCCCCAAACAATCAAAATGGGCGCGGCCGTCCAAAATGTTGAGCCCCAACAAGAGGAACTACAACAACACAACAACACACAACACGAACCGAACGAACCACGCACAACGCCCAACTCTGTCGCATTTTGGACAAATTGTTTCATAATTGATTGATGTGCACAAGCCCAAGTTTTTCGTTTAGTCACACTCTGTGGGATGCGGGGCGGTGGCGGGTAGCGGGGGAGGGAGGGCAGCAGCAGGACTGATGCTGAACGGAGGGCAGACAGACATGTGAGAGAGACTGACACATGTGAGTAGCTTACGCGCTTTACTGACTTCTTCCTGTTGTTTTTGTTGTTGATTTTATAGTTGTTGTTGTTGTTGTTGTTGTTGTTGTCTCTACTGTGTTACAGAACATCGTCTGCCTGCCAACTGCAGGTCTTCTGCCCACGATGTTCTCTTTCTCTCTCTCTTTCTTTTTTTACCACAAATTTTGCCGCTGCACTGTGGTCCAGGCTTTGTAAAACTCTGTTTACTTTAATTGTGTTGCATTAAGGTTTTATTAGTTATTATATTAATATTATTTTTTTCAGTTAATAAAACTCCTAAAAGCTGCAACTAAGATAGAAATCTAATTAAAGTGTTAATAAAGCTGTTAACTACAGCTGAGGCTGGCAACTGCAGCTGCAGCGACAGCCGACACTAACAGATGTACGCGAGCGCTGTTAGTTAACAGAGCGCTGCCCGCGTCGGCAGCCGCTCTCCCTGATACTTATGTTAATTATTTGTAAGCGCATCACTTGGAATTACATTCGCCGTCTCAGAAAGAAGTTAAAACATACAAGTTAAAAAAAGAAAAAGTGATAGTTTTTCAAAACCTCCATTTTGGCAAAAAAAAAAAAACCATTAACGCATAACTTTTTACAAGTAAATTGAAATAAATTCTAAATTGGTTGAGCGCAACGAAATTGTATGCAAATATTCCTTATCCAGAAATGTCTTAAAGTGCTTCACACTGATCACTTTTTCATTAAATTTATGTGAGTGCCAAGCTAAAGTCAAATATATTTATATTTAGTGACTAACTTCGACCCAAATTTTGGTTTATTAACATATGTTGTAAGTAGCAAGTGTTTGCATTCAATTAGTGGCAGGCACTGAAAAAAAATTGTGCTGTCAGTATTTTTCTCATTTTTGTGTGGCTCTCTACCACGGTATGATGGGAAAATAATTTCACGATATACAAACACACGTACGTACGTAGCTTGACGCAGGTTGTGGCTGCAGCGGCTCCGGTCCTTTCCCTGGCTCTGGCTCTGGCTCCGGCTCTGGTCCTGAATCCGACCACCCGCCGTGCTCTGTGGCCTATTCGTCGAGTTATTTAGACAGATTTTTGATAGCTACTCTTTTGCCCAATTGCCAGAACCGCCGCTCAATCTCTTTTGGAACTACTTGACAGCATTATGCTCTTTTTTTTGTATACTCGTATATATTTGTGCTTTCGTATTCTGTGCATTTTTTGTGTGCTTTTGTGTTTTTGGTTTTGTTGGGGCATAAATTGAGTTTTGATTTGAAACTCAATTGCCATAATGTGATGGCTGTGCGGACGTTGACACATATACATATACATGTGTATGTATAGTATATATGAAGCTCACACATACATATATACATTTGTATAGAGAATTTCAAAACTGCTCAGTTGACTTGTGCGGTTGACGTTGACGCCGACGACCCCAACGTCACCTCCTATGCCGCAAATTCGATTGATTTGACAGCGCGTTTATGGCGAACCTCCTCCATCACAAACGCCTTCGCTAGCTTTCAATCGCCCCCACCCGTCCCATTCATCCCAATCGTCATTCTTGTCTCCTTCTTAGCATGCGTTCTGGTTTTGATGTTTAATTTGCCTTTACGCTGACGCGTGTGCGATTGTTGTGCTTTTTGTTGCTGTTATGGCGCGTTTTCTCAATGATTTTGTTAGAACTTTGCTTTGCTTTGCTTTGGTTTTTGTTGCCACAACTTGGTTTAATTAATGCGACCACTGTGTGTATGTTTAGTATAAATCAACGCCTAAGTGGCCACTTGGCAACTGAAAGTGACAGCAGAAGCTCAACACGTTTGCCATCCCACCCGAACATACACTTACTAATCGCCCCGAAGAAAAGCAGATAGGTATATTTTACAAATTAGGTCTACGAAGTAAGTCTGTTTGATGATAGTACGATTGTCTTGCATTGAAATTCATTTTAAATATTGCAGCCGGCAAAAACTCTAAAGTATTTTAACAGATATGTAACCTTTTGTTAAACCTAAAAATAATATATATATATATGAATAGAAAAATGTATACATCAAAAAATTACTAATATGCATTAGATTAGATTAAAATATTCCGATTAAATCGGCTCGCATATTTTCATTTAGAGCTTTTTACACATACATCATTTACTTAATAAATATTTACTTGGTAAATTTTTGTTAATACAAAAATGATGAGACATTTGATGGAAACTAGAAATTGGACAGAACCTAAGAGGAAATAACAGATTTACATAAGTTAAATAAAATCCTATTTTGTTCTTTAAAACAAAAAGTGTGAGACACTAAAACCCTATGTGTTAAAGTTTATTTGCTACGAATTTTTGTTAGATTTGGGAGTGTTCCAATTTTTCTTTCTGCAAAAATCATTTAAAAAGCAATCCTTTGGCTTATTTTATTTTCATACAAAAACTTGACTGTTTCTCTAAAGGCACTTAAGTAGCCTTGTAAGCAAGGATTAAAAGATATCTGCGGTATATAATCGATAGTGTCAATCGCTAATTTCAAAATCATATCTGCGCACAATGACATTAAATTATATTCAAGCTTAGCCAAACCGAGACACTTTTTACTATTTTCGAGTTTTCGAAATCACTTCAGGACTTGAAAAATTGTTTATTTAAAAAAAGAACTCGCGATTTGCTCAAATTTACATAAATATACTTACAATTTTAATGAATTGATATTCTACTTTTTTTGCCAACATGTCTGAAAAAATGCCTATAAACAGGAATATTTTTTTATGCGCTCATCTCTAGGGGACAATATAATTTTTGACTGCAAGCTTGATGCGTTGGCAGGCAGGCAATTTAATTAAAATCCCCACACACACACACGGAAGAAAACAACACACACACACACTCACGAGTTTATGCAAATACTAAGCTCACATGCTGTTGCTGTTGTTGCTGCTGCCGAAAACCTTTTAGCGTTCTTGGTCCAAACAGCAAGTTAATCACATTTTGTGGCCATCTTAATTGTATCACTTTATTTTTTTTTCTTGCATTTTCTTGGAGCTGTCAGCAAAATTGCTTAGCTTCGGGCACAATATTATTTATTTAAATCGCCTGAGACATAAAATTGGGCACTCAAATTGCCGGCCAATTGCAAAATCAACGCGCACAGGCACACGCACAGGCACACGCACAGGCACACACACACACACACACACATATACACACAAATACAAACACAAATTGAAAAATGTTATCAAGCGAGTGGCATGGTACGTGAACTGTCGGGGATGCTTGAATGCTTCGATGGCTTGGGCTGCTCGTTTGGCTATCGAAAAAACAAAGCGGCTGCCGGTTGACAGTTTGTTAATTAAAAACAGCAGCCGGCAGCAGTCAGTCAACGTCTCAGTCTCAGCACTTGAAAGCACACACACACACACACACACACACACACACACACACACACACACACACACACACACACACACACACACACACACATCGTGTTGGCCCGCATGAAAAGCATCGTGTGATGTGCCGTTCAACGACAACAAATACACAACAAAAGCAACAGCAACAACAGCAACAACAACAAACTACAGCAAGTCCAGCAAGTCCGGCACGCAGAGAGGCCTGCAGTTGGCAGCGGCTAGGCTAATAAATTGCAGCCCAGTCGAATACGATGCCGGACCTTCCCCCAACCCCCAACCCCCATCCCCCATTCCAGCCCAGCCCCATCGAATGCGTCCTACTCACCTATCGTTGTAATTAATGTCAGGGAGTAGAGAAACGCTGAGGCATAGGTCCATTTGTGCGTCGGTGCATTCATTTGCAAGCCGCCAGGTTGATAAATTTTCGATTGACGCACGGCTCGCAGTAGGGTGTCCTTTATATGTCCATATATATATATACACATATGCACGTATGTATGTGTGCGTTCAATCCAATATGGCAGGTGACAAGATGAAAGCGTAAGGAGCGAGAATTGGTGGGAAGAGAAGGTGTGAGATATTTGCTAATGCTTTTGTTGTCATCATTCGTGTTGAGTTGAGCCTTACCTGGAATAATTGCACCTCCTGCGCCGCTAAGCGCGTCCAGTTCTCTTTATAGAGTATATTCAGATCCTCTGTGATGGACCATAAGCGATCGACAGTTCTGTGTCAAACAAAATTAAAGTGCATTAGTTCCTTACAAAAATATAACAGCAAAAATGTTTTCAATTATCGGTAGGAATCCTTGGCAGATAAATTTTCGATTTTTTCCTAGCTCTTACCTAGCTTGAAACCTAGATTTAGATTTTAATTAATCTAATAATGTACAATTGTAAATATAACTCTTCATTAAAAACTACTACCTTGAAAATTCATTGAATAAGAGACATCCCCAAATATTTTAAAAGATTGAATAAAGTAGAGAGCGATTAGAAAATTTAGTCCTTCGCGTGAAGTACATTACTTGTATTTATTTAAAACAAAATGCATCCAAAATTCAACGCTTTAAGCTAGGGTCCACTCTACAGGGTCTGCCTTTTCTTTTGAAATGACTGGAATATGCTTCACATCTGACATAAAACGTAGCCGTGGCCATAGTTGCGGTCAATTAATTAGCCATATATATTGCTGGCTTAATTAAAATGTATGCGACAGTCATGGATGGATCATGGCTTCGTAACATAATACTACGAACTGATTAGAAAAAGCACTGTTATCTCAGAGATCTTAATTATTATATAAAAACATAATTAATAACAAGAATGCTTTTGCTTTGGGTTTACTTACCTCGAACGTATTTCCGCATTGGCCAGCTCGGTGCGTGGATATGGTTTGGAGGCCGCCACTGCTGTTTCGAGTGCATTCGCATCTTCAATCTCCCCCTCCAAGGTAACAAAGATAATTGAGCCCATGGCCGTGTACAGCAGCACCAACAGCAGTACACCTGTTGTATACGAGCACACATATAGTATTTGTTTATTTATTATGTTTTTGGGTTAACGGAAATAACGTATGCATGTAAAACAGAATTTGACTTTCAGTTTTGGGGGCGGTGGCAGATGAATGTTTTGCTTAACGAACTATGCTATACATTTTTCCAATTTATAGTCAGGTCGCCGGCAATTTAAAAGAAAACCACACCAACCGATTTTCCCTATCCTATGGGTAGGCCGGCAAAGAATTCACCAATTTATGCAAGTAGGCCATGAATCAATGACTGTAAGAATGTGTATAGAATTGTGTATGGAATCGAACTGAGATTATGTTTTTGACATACTGTACTTGCTTACTGGAACTGGAACTAATGTGAAAATTGTCTGCCTGTCCTGGCTCTACCTTTGGCAAAATTTCAGTTGCGTACTTTATTCTTTATTTTTAATTTCGGTTGTTAACTGAAATTATTAGTATTGGCTCACACATTAATTTCTGTTAAGGTCTTGTGATTACATCTTGTATTAAGTGCACAGCTGCCAAGGTCTAATGACTCCCAACTGATGTGTGTATGGAAGGACTTTAGCTCGAGGCGAAAAGTGAATTCAATTACAAGTCAACTGTCCAGACATATCACTGGGGGACGATGAGATAACGATCTGACATCCTCAACTGAACTGAACTGTTGATGTCTAACCTGAGGCCAGCAGGGCCAAAAGGCTTCGCATGGCTATTGCATTCCCACAATTGGTCAATAAGCGAACTTTCGCTGCTTTCGCTTCAGAATTAAACACCCACAGGGCTATGCGTTATGATGTGACGTCACCCGATCAATTGAGAGCTAAGTACATTCCAAATGAACAGCCAAAGGACGTTCGCAGCAACGAACTATTGACTTTTCGCCAGAATTGGAATTCGATATTAATTATGTCAGTTAGTAGAGATAGATTTGATTTGAAGGAAAGCATCGAATTAGGACTAAACACTTACCTGTCGCTGATATGCAATGCGATTTGGGGGCTTTCTGACAGCCACAGAGGCTGCCACCGCCTCCGGTTCCACCAGCAGTGCCAGCATCGCGTTGTTTTTCTGCCTTGGATGTGGTGCCACCAGTAGTGCCACTGCTTCCACTGACGCCTTGGGCACTATTAGAGCCACTGCTGGCAAAGCATAGGGAGGCACTGTTGCGTGCACCACCACCACCACCAGCACCACCAGCACCAGCATTGGCTCCTCGTTGGATGCTACCACCGGCGCCATTCGAAGCATTCGAATTCGTATTGATGGTGTTGTTGTCGCTGCCGCCTAAATAGGCCGTCAGCGGCAATGGCGGCTTTTTGTTCATTTTATGTGTGTGCGTGTGTATGTGTGTGTGTGTGTGTTTGTCCGTATCGCTGTGCGCTGTGCGCTGTGCGATGTGCGTTGCGGGCAGCAGTCAATCAAGTAATGTGTGTGTAACTGCCCTTTCCCTCTTGTTGCTTCGCCTTGCGCGTCGCGTCGCGTCGCGTCTGCGTCTGCGTTTTGTGGCGCTGGCAATCAAATCAAAAGCTTTGGCGCATCATGTGGCACGTAATTTGCATCGAGCGTTTGGCCGTTCCACCTTTCACGTTCCACGTTGTGTCGTCGTGTGCTTTTCGCCGCTATTTGCCGCCCTTCTTGCGCCGTTTACCGTTTTGTCGCCGCTGCTGACGTTATTATGTGACCGTCATAAAATGTAGTCGTTGTCCTTGTTGTTGTTGTTGTTGCTGCTGCTGTTGCTGTTGTTGCTGCTGTTGCTGCTGTTGCTGTCGATGGCGTTGTTAACGCCTACACTTGCTCCTGCGTTTTCTTCTTCTTTTGTATTTGTTGGCACGCTGCACGCGCTGCTGTTGTTGTTCCTGTTGTTCTTGTTGTTGTTGTTGTTTTTATGACTGGCGCCCACAAAACGGAAATGTTTTTGCACGCGTTGTGTTGTAAAAATTGTCGCCGGATGCTGCAAATGCAAAATATTTTGTGAAAAACTGGCAAAATGAAAATGAAAATTGCCGAGGCGCATACACACAGTGTCTGTACGAGTATGTGTATGTGTGTGTAGGTGTAGGTGTAGGTGTCGGTGTGTGTAAATATCTGTCTAGGTATATGTATGTACACACATATGTGTGAGAGGCGTCGACAAATTGCATGGCAAATGCTGTGTAATTGAGTCAAGAGCTGCCAACGACAACATGTTTGTTTTTGTCATTAGTATCAGCGTATATATATATATATATATATATATATATATATATATATATATGTGTGTGTGTGTGCGGATGTGCCTGTGTATGTGTGCTACGTAATCTGATAAACGTGAAGATGGCCGGCATTTAAATTAAAGATTGCGCGCCCCAGCACAAAATGTTGCCAACTTGTTGTTGGGATCCACAATGTTGTTGCTGTTGGCAAGCACGTGCCACACATATATGTACGTGTACACACACACACACACACACACACGCACACCTACACCCACAGACTCGTACAGCCGCCCATTGACATACTCGCATCCTCATCTACGCCCACTCACACGCAACCAACTGATGATGACTTTTTTGGCACTTCAATTAAAGGATGTCGCGCCCCCAAAACCAGACAATGTTCCACCACTGCCTCTAACCTTTTCCCCATCGCCACCCGTTTAACTCAAGCCCTTAACCCGCTTACGACCGCTCCACCATAAATTTCGCCTGCCCATGCAAAATAAATTTGCTTTGCTTTGTTTTGTTTTGTTTTGTTATGTTTTGTTTTGCCAGTCGCGTCGCATCGCATAGCGTCGTCGTTTTTGTTTATTACTTGAGTTTTTGCTGAGCTCGGCTCCAATACTAATTATGACTGCCAGCCAGTTAGCACGTTTGCACAGACACTTAACGGGTTAAGGGCAAAACATTGTGCCTTGTCTCCTGCTCGGCCGCCTGTTTTGTATGCAATGCTAAAGTTCAGATTTAGGCCCCCAACTCCAAGTGTAACGACTTGTCTAATTGCTACCAAATCCCTCTCTCTCCTCTCCCCTACGTTTCCATTTTTTGTTGTTGTTTGTTATTATTATTATTATGCAGATTTCTGACAACAATTTGTGCATTGATTATACAAGTATACAATGAAGGAGAGTTTCGCAAGTGAGAAGGAGATGCTAAGACAGGGCGAAGGCGTTTCTTTCTTACTCCCTCCTGCTGACTAACTTTTGTTCAGCTTTCCCTTGTGCTGTTATTAGAGATAGTATATTTTATAAATAAAGAACTACAACAGTTTTTCTACGGCTCTCGCATGTGATATATTCCCTCAATAGAATAGCATTCGAATGTGATTTGGAGGAGTGGGTGGGGAGGAGCCTGCTTAATAGTTGGGCCCACTTAATTCTTGTTTTAAAATTTAAATGCATTCGAGGGAAAAAGGCGCTACTTACACTACATTTTACAGATTTATTGCATATGCTCAAATATGAAAAGTGTATAGTGGGTGCCAGGCCGAATTTAAAAGAATTATGTGCTCAGCAAATCGATTTCACATGAAATGTGTTTTTGCTGCCACAATAAAGATTTAATTCAATCAGAGGTATGGAATATTAATGCTTAAATAATCCCACCTGTTATACCACAATTTATCAAAAATTAAAAGTGTAGTGCAGCTTGCAAATGAACAACTCTGTAATGCAATACCTTGTTAGTCTGATGCACAAAATCACGTGTCAGTTGGACAGTTTGCTTGAAAATCGATAGCTTGGCCAACTAAAATAATAATAATAATAACATCAAGCTGAAAACACACGAAGGATGGAACAGACCACGGAAATACTTGTAGTTAAGATATCAAATTAAACAGCAGTCATTAATTAAATATTATATGCAAGGCGTGTGCAAATTCGAAGCTCGGAAATGCTACTCGTTTATACAGAGAGTATGCAAGTTATTAGTCCCAAAGAACAAACGTGTTTATTGGACTAATTCTTTATTATTGCGCACACAGCAATTGCCTAATGCATCAATTATGATTAAATTGAAATTGATTTCTGCTAATAATTGTGCGGCAGCTGACAGAGCGACTGAAATATTGGTGAATATTGTGCATTTGCATCCGCACATACATCCGTACATACTATACTCGTATATCTATTAAGTTCTACTTTATATGCCTATCAATGCATAATGCAATGCAAGTCTGTCAGATGCTGCCTCTTTATTGGGTAATTGCTGTCATTGAGAGCCCTTTATTTTATTCATGCTGCTCAAATTATATCCGGAATGAGTCACGCCATAAACAAAACAAGGCTTTCAGTTCAATCTCATCACAAACATGGATAGCTTTTACCGGTGAAAGCATTACATTTAATGCGAGGGTTGCTGCTCTTGTATTCGTAGCTATACGTAGGCGGTGAGTGGGTAGATTATTTTAATGAAATGATTGTATTTAAGTATAATTAATTAGTCTCTTGAATATAGACCACTTCTCGCCCATTAAACTAAAATAAGCTTTGAGATTATGAGAGATTTTGCCACATACTTGTGTTTGTGATATTGAAAAAAATAATTATCGGAAAAGTTATTCCAATGATATAGTGAATCAATAAATGTAATACTTTTGATTATGGTAGTATCTACAATACAAACTTTTGAATTTGACATTTGCCTGAGATATCGAAAACAAAAAGTCTTTGTTTGATTTCTGGAAAGTTCATTGCTTTGGCAGTTACATATACGACAAGTGAACCAATTTTGATGAATCCGGAATACTATATAAAGCTCAAAAATACCAGACTCGGTTAAATGAACTTAACAAACATGGATCTGCTAGTACCAGTACATATATGGCAATAGACTTGCTCTGCATATGGATTAAAGTGTCCAACTGTTTTGGTTCGAAAGTTCAAGGCGTTCATACGGACAGACAAATGAACGGACGGAGAGAAATGAGATAATCAGAGATAGAGTTATTAGTAATAATTATTTGCAATCTGATTTTAAAAAAGCAACATTTACATTTCCATTTATATAGATTGGACCCATCTGGGAATTTAATGCTGATTTGATCCTCAGAGCATCTCAAACCAAAGCTATGCAGTGCAACCAGACATTGTTATTGTCTATTCAATGTATTGATAGGATATATAGACTAGGATCAGTTATAATGCAAAAGAACCTAATATGTGAAGCACACTTATACAATGAAGAATCCTGCTATCGGTAGTATTTTCTTTTCTCGCATTTTGAAGCTTACGTGTGAGTCGAGAAGAAGGCTTTTCAATATTTCAATCGCAGTATGGAAACACCTCTTGAACAGACAAGAGTATGTGTATCTATTTATCAGTCACAGTACAGTCGTGCAACCTGTTTACTATACACGTATTACACATTTAACGCAACTCGCACCTTTTTAATTGCTGACATTTGCTGAACGCCGAGTGTTAAATCTACCGTAACCAGCAGCGTTCTCTGTGTGTCTGTGGCTTTATGCGTGTATGCGCGTGCGTGTGTGTGTGTGTGTGTGTGTGTGTGTGTGGGCTTTAGTTAAGTGCAAACTTATGCCAATTATGTAGAGCTATGGCCATACTTTATGTATATACATTTGGTCCTCATTCCCGGGGCCGATTCGCTCTCCTCACAAAAACTTTACATACGAGTACGTTCGAGTTGCCTTGGCTTTTACTTGACTTTGCCTTTTGCTCAATTTGCTGGCACTTCTTCCCGAGCACTTCTGAACCTTGAGAGCTCAACCAGATTACACGGATCATTAGCTCAAATGAGAAAGTTCACATGTTCTTTTCACACTAAACACGGCACTGCCATAGAACAGCGACAGCAACAAAAGCAACAACAGCAACAACAACGGCAGCTATAGGAACAGCAGGGGCAACAACAAACAAGAATAACAGATATAGTAGCAGTGTCCAGCACTTAATCAAATGCAAGCAATGTGCGTTGGTGGGATCTGAGCGACAGCAGGAAGGAGGAGAACGGAGCTGGAGAGAGGGAGAGAGAGACGCAAGGATAGAGGAGACCACTATGTCATGCAATTGCAAGGGCGCCCTGTAAGTTGTCTGTCGTTTGTCAAGACGTTGCTGCGCTGCTTTCAATTGCTTTTAAAAATTCCAGCTGCGTACCATCAGACAGAGAAAAGCCCATAAACGAAGAGGGGAGAGAGTGGGAGAGACGACTAGAGATACAAGTATGAAACGAGTCACGAAGGCTGTTCAAACACCGAAACTAATTTCACAAATTCCCGATGCAAACTTTGTTGGCCAACTTTTTTTAATCTCAATACAAATATTACGAGTTCACAGATAATTAAATTATTGCTCGAGCTTAAATTATATAAATCACAAAATGATTTTTA